CCCCACCCCCTCACCTCCTTTGCCCCCTCCTCTGGGCTCCTGACTCTTTCTGCAGCCTTTCTTCTGCTACTCCTTGGCTCGTTCTTTCTCTTACTCTTACTCTTACTGCTTCTTGGGTTGAATTAGTTTGGTTTGTTTGTTTGTTGTTTTTGTTTTTATGGGGGGGTTGCAGTTGATTAATGAATCAATGTGCTTTTGTGATTTGTAAATGGATGTTTTTACATTTGGTGTTTTGTTTTTCCTCTCTCTTGGAGCAGATGGTGAAGAAAACGCTGAGGACAACCCCAGTGATGGGTCGCGGGAGTCGGCCACAGACGAGGAGGAGGAGGGGGATCTGCCGGACAGCGAGGAGGAGGAGGAGGAGGAAGATCTGCCGGAGTACACGCAGGACTTTGACATGGAGGAGACGGACGTGGACCACCGCTGGAACGAGCTTCAGACGGACGCCCCCGAGGTGTCTCAGTCGACTCGGAGACTCGCCGTGTGCAATATGGACTGGGACTTTGTCAAAGCTCAAGATCTCTTTGTTTTGTTCAAGTCTTTTGTTCCCGAGGGAGGCTGTGTTAATTCTGTGGCCATTTATATGTCGGAGTTTGGGAAGGAGAGGATGGCTGAGGAGGCTAAGCTGGGTCCCAAAGAGATGAGAGAGCGGGTGGAAAACGGTGACAATGGCGGGACTCAGAAGGGGAAGAGGAGAAAGATGGATGAGAAGAAGGAGAAGCACTTGAGGAAGGAGCGGGATGTGGTTCACCGGGAGAAGCTGCGCGAGTACCAGCTGAACAGACTCAAGTATTACTACGCCGTGGTGGACTGCGACTCTGTGCGCACCGCCGACACAGTTTACACCGAGTGCGACGGGCGAGAGTATCAGCTGAGCTCCGTGCGGCTCGACTTGAGGTTTATTCCGGAGGACATGACCTTTGAGGATGAGCCCCGGGAGATGTTTTCAGAGGGGCAGACAACTGTGGACTACCAACCCAGTACATTTCAGTCGACTGCCTTGTGCCAAGCGCGGGTCGAGGTGACCTGGGATGAGACTGAGTTTGACCGATTGAGTCGCCGGGTCAGTGCGCTGCAGCAGAAAGAGTTGGAGAGTATCGTGGAGGAGAACAAATACTCCGACATCATTGCGCCCCCGGAGAGCGATTCTGAGGAGGAGGGGGGACAACCTGAGTGGCTGAAGTCTGTGCTGGCGCAGAATGACGACGACGACGTCGATGATGATGATGATGAGGAGGGAAGTGAAGAGAAGGTGATGACAGAACAGAAGAAAATCGATCTGTATCGCAAACTGCTGATGGACAAGATAACGGAGGAGGAGGAAGAGAAACAGAAAGAAGAAAATGACGTGGACAAAGTGTTAGAGTGGCAGCCTGGACTGAAGACATCTGTGGAGAAAAAGTTACAGAAAAAAGCAAAGAAGAAGGAAGAAAGCACTTTGGTCAATCATTATTTGGAGAAGAGAAAGGAGAAGAAGAGAAAGAAGAGAGAGCGAAAGTTGCAGGAAATGGTGCCGGAAGACGGCGCAGAAGCCTTCAGTGATGATGAACTGCCTGAGGGTGTTGAGATCGACGACAGCTTGAAGGAAATGATGGAAGGAGAACACAGGGGGGATGGGCAAGGAAAAAAGAAAAAGAAGAGGAAGACGCAGGAAGTTGCGGTGGAAGATGAAGCAGAGGATATGGAGAAAGCCGAGTTGGAGCTGATGCTCATGGACGATGCCGGGGGCAGACATTTGTCTAAGCCGGAGCTTGTTCCCAACTCCGATTCGATGTCGAAGAAGAAAAGACAGAGCAAAAAGCAGATGGCTAAACGGAAGAAAACTGGACAAGAAGACACGGAACACTTTGTGCTGGACGTTGAAGACAAGAGGTTTGGCGCTCTGTTCACGTCGCACCACTTCCACATCGACCCAACAGCGCCGCAGTTCAAGAAGACGAAAAACATGCAGCGTCTGGTGGACGAACAGATCCGACGCAAGAGCAAAGGAGGAAGTGGGAAGAGGAAAAGTCGAGACGGGGCCGAGAGTCCGAGCACAGGGGCAGGTGGGGCAGCGGCGACCAGCAGATCTGTCAGTCAGTCGTTGGTGGAGAGCTTGAAGGAAAAAATGAAGAAGAAGAAGAAAGTGTAAAAGTAGTAGATGTAGATGTTGATGTTGCCAGAGCTTGGGGGAATTGGACATCAGGCTTGTTTGTGGCGTCCTATGTGTGTGGTCACGTGTCTACTGTCTACAAATACAGCAAAACATAGACAGGCTGGTGGCATCCTGTGTGGTCACGTGTCTACAAATACAGCAAAACATAGACAGGCTTGTGGCGTCCTGTGTGTGGTCACGTGTCTACAAATACAGCAAAACATAGACAGGCTTGTGGCGTCCTGTGTGGGCGGTCACGTGTCTACTGTCTACAAATACAGCAAAACATAGACAGGCTTGTGGCGTCCTGTGCGGTCACGTGTCTACAAATACAGCTAAACATAGACAGGAGTCAGGCTATTTTATTGATCATGAACCTGAAGGAAGATTGGACTTTTTTCTTTCCTGTGGGAGCTGTTTTGTCCAACCTGACGGTTGATGCAGGCCTGTGCTGTCTGTTGTTGACATTTCTCTTGTTAGTGAATGATTGACATTTCCATTATCATTATGTTTGTTCAACTTCTGACATTGAGACCCTGGGTGGTTGGTGGGTTTTCTGCTGTGGTTTGCTTCTTTCCTATCAAAAGCTATCGTCCTCTGTCCTCCTCCTTTCTTTTTGTTTGTTACTCTCTTGTAACACCTCTAATCTTCGGCACCTATATAACTTATATGACCTTATTTTGTTGCAAGTGCCGTAAAACTCTTACTAAAACAGCGTAAAACTCTTATACGCGGTGTCCACTATGGACGGGATCGGCCGCTCGATCGCCTCAAAAACAAACGTGTTTGTTTTCAGTTTTAGGCGATCGAGTCGGGCGATCGGCCCGATCCAGCTGTAGTGGGCACCTGGTATACTAAAACAAAAGACCGTCACTTTACAGTGGGACCTGCTTCTACCAAACTTGCAATACACACACAGTGGTTAACCAAAACAAAATTAAATCTCCAGTTTTTTTAGTTCCCATTTCTAGGTTTAAAAAACCTATAGATTAGCACAAATGTCGAACCCCCCCCCCCAAAATAATAAAAATGGGTGTGGGCGATTTCCAGATAAATACTCTGTAGCGTGCCTCACACCCGCCAAGTAGGCGGAAAAAACCAGGGCTCTCCTTTGTTCCCATCAAAGAACCCGGATCAGATTTGCAGAAAATTCGATTTTTAAGATTTTAATTCCGTTCCTGTCAGGTCCTTTGCAATATCTCATAAATGACTTGAAAATACACATTTTATTTGTGTTGATTTGCCCTGATTTTCACGGCTTATTATAAATTACTTGAAAATACACATTTTTAGTAGCGTTAATTAATGCGTGTGTACTGTATCAGTGTATTTTACCACTGTTGTCGGTTCATTGTGTCATCATAATCTACTCCGGGTTTTGGAAACCTCAGTTTTTTTTCCCAAAATCAGATTTTGTTTGTTTGTTTTGAATTTGAGGAAAGCCTTTGACCGTGACAGAGTGGTTGGCAGGTGTACTAGCATCTCTGACTCTGACAGCACAAATCGACAATGGTCGCTATTTGAGCAACTCTCCCGGAACAAAGAACACGACTATACCTTTAACAAATCTGGTGGTGCCACAGATTTTGGTCTTGGCAGACTCCACTGTATGTCTCTCTCTGTCCCCGTGTTGGAGTGTCTGTGTGACTGTCTGTATGGACTGACATTTCAGCTGCCAGGCCTGCCATTATACTTTTTACAGAACGGATAGTAATTGAGTGACCTCCGTATTTGGATAAAATTGTGTGGCTGTTGCTCCATAGCTTTTTTTTTTTGCAGGCATCTTTTTGTCTAGTTTAGTTTCTTTATATTAATAATTGTATGTATGGCAGATCTATGTATGGTTGCTGGGACTGGTGTACATGTATATATGGTTGCTGGGACTGGTGTACTTGTATATCTGGTTGCTGGGACTGGTGTACATGTATATGGTTGCTGGGACTGGTGTGCATGTAGACATGGTCGCTTTTTAAGCACACGGGGGCTATCCTGAAAAATGCTGTTGTGAGAAAATGGAAGGTAAAGTTTTTGCCCCTTGTTCAGTATCTTTAAAAGACACAGAGAGTTTTCTAACCAAACACACACCAATGAAATCCAAACTTCTCGTATAGGTAGGGCAATGCCCACTTTTGGTGTAGGTCAAGATTTCTGGAAACCCCCGAAATCTGGGTTAGCCCGTTTGTCCTGAAAAGCGACCATATAGACAGACTATTGGTTTCCTTAGTGAAGTGTGTGTACAAATGTACTGTAGACATTGTTTCCTTCTATTAGTGAAGTGTGTACTGTAGACATCGTTGGAGACCGTGATCCATTGTGGAGGAGAGAAGGTGTTGTCGTACAGAGGTGGCCGTCTCTCTCAGTCTCCTTGTTGTCGTACAGAGGTGGCCGTCTCTCTCAGTCTCCTTGTTGTCGTACAGAGGTGGCCGTCTCTCTCAGTCTCCTTGGTTGAAATGGAAAAAAAAAGTACCCTAGGACGGAATCGGAAAGGGATTGTCTTGTACAGGTGGTTGTCTTGTACAGGTGATTGTCTTGTACAGGTGGTTGTCTTGTACAGGTGGTTGTCTTGTACAGGTGATTGTCTTGTACAGGTGGTTGTCTTGTACAGGTGGTGTAACCGTTAGAGTAGGTCCTACTGTAATTGTCAAATGTTTGTCGGAATGTTTGAGATGGAGTGGGGAAATCATGTACGCCGGGACCTCTACTTAACCCTTCAGGAACCGTACCGAGGATTTCGATCATGTCAATATGATGTATTTGATTTATGATGTCACAGAAGGAACAAAGAACAATTACATTTGTAATGAATGAGTGTCTCTGCTGAAGACTAAATTGTTAACTGTCGTCGTTTTTTTTATTTAGGCCATATGTTTTTGTTACCATCTTGAAAGTGTCAATATCAGCTTCCATGTTGTTTTGCTGTACTGTGACTGTGACTTGTAACATGGCAGGATGTCAGTTGTCTCAAACAGTAGGCTATTTGTGTGTGTGTTGCTTGGTACGAGATGAAATGTGGGTGGTTGGCGGGTGCTCTGGTGGGGTTTGCTTCTTCTTTCCTATCAAACATCTATCGTCCTTATCTCCCCTTCTTCTTTTTTATGTTTGTTACTCTCTTGTAACACCTCTAGTCTTCGGCACTTATTTGGCCTTATTGTGATGCAAGTGCCGTAAAACTCTTACTAAAGTAAAACTAAAAGGAGGTTATGAGAATACATAATGTTGTGTGCAAACTTCAGATTAGATCAAGATCTATTCTGTTGTGTTGATTGAAATGTGTGCGTACTCCTGTGCACAGTATAGATCTGTGTGAAGTGAGAGTTTACATGTATGCAGTTCCAAGTTCTGTTAAATAAAGATTTGTTATGACTTCAAACAGACACGTGTTGTTCCCAAATGATGTGTCATGGCGTGGTGACACCAGGGGCTCGTCAATGTGGGGGCGTGTGGACTTGTTGGAATGATCTTGAAGCTTGTTCCTTTGTCTTGCTTTTGATTTAAAAAATACATGTACCCATCTGTCTTGAACAGAAGTCAAGATATTCGCGATTGAAGGAGGTGGGGGTCGCTTGTTTCAGAGGTACCGGTACAATTAGTGAGGAATGGCCGCCAAAGTTTGGTGACTTTCATAGCTTGAGAGTCCTCGGAAACTGAACATTCACTCATAAATTTTCTTTTGAATTTCCAAAAAAGGTGTTGAGCAGTAAATAGAACATGTCGATAACAATTGCCAAACTGGTGGAAAAATGCCAGTTTGTTCAATTTGCTGAATCTGACGAGCTCCTGATTTGTCCGCGCTGCCTCACGTGTCTTGTTGTCTTTGTTCTTGTTCGTAGAGTATCTGACTTGTTGTGGGGGATAGGAAATTGTGTTTGTAACTGTCAGCATAGATCTTCTGTCTGCCTCGATGTTCAAACCAACTCACTTTTACATTTCTTTATAAAATAGATATCTATATGTGTGTGTGTGTGTGTGTGCGTGTGTGTGTGTGTGTGTGTGCGTGTGTGTGTGTGTGTGTGTATGTGTGTGTGCCTAAAGAAAGGTACCAAAAGTCGCCACAGTCCATTTGGAGCTACAGGCTGAGAATGACCAAAAATGGGCTGATTCATCATGTCACGCTCATAACTGTACCTGAACTACAACAGGGAACTGCTGCTTTTTCTTTCCTAATCCTTACTATTGTCATTTCCTGTATTTGTTTTGTATGTTTGTCACTCTCTTGTGACCCGCTATTTCCGGGGTGCCTTGATAGTCGAAGCAGACTTTGTGCTGTTGAGGCTAGAGAGGTGAGCAGAGTAAGTCTGATTCCCTGTAAGGACTTCTCTGTTGACATCCACCCCTTGGCGCTCATATGACCTTATGCAGTTGCGAGCGCCGTAAAACCCTCTACTATTTTTAAAAAAATTATGGTGATAGGGTCCTGAAACCCTCCCACTTTCTACACTTCCTCGTAGGTAGCCTACGACCCTATCACCTACTAGGTAGCGTACTTTCTCACTTTCTGCCTGCGTCTGCAGCTAGACCATAGACAATATCTAAGATATGTGAGGTGTGCTGACAAAATGAGTTACATGTACTTTCTCGCAATCCACAAATGGAGATAATGGCCAAATATTGACACTAGGCTCAAATTGTTAGATTTTTCTGTTGATGCCATATTTTTTAAGTATAATGTTGTTATGCCTTTTATTATTTCATACTTATAAATTGTAAAAACTTCACCTATAACTAGTGTGGTGTAGGCCTGTCTATTATTTCCAAAGGGCTCGAATCTGGGAAGTAACTCATTTTGAAGCTCGCTGCACGTATTCATATTAGCCTACTATATTAATGAACTACAGTCGATGACGGATGAGTTGATGTGGTCGGGGGAGGGAAAAATAGATCAACTCATCCGAAGTTGTACTCAAGTCTTGGGAGGAAACTGTACAGTAAAGAACAAGAGGTGCTGGGATCTGAGAACAAAATCAACCAAAGGTCTACACCTGCCGAGAGGGCTGTACTCGTAGACCCTGAGGCACACTTCAGACACTCGTTT